ATTCCTGGGAATAGGCTGAGCCAGCCACCCCTCCCCCATCCAAGTCAGCCCGTGTGGTGCCCAGAGGCAGAGGTTCAGGCTATCCCTTCCTTCTATCCCTCAAAGACATTGGGCAGGGGCCTCCTGGCCACCCAGAAACATATGCCTCTTTCAGTGTGCCCCAGTCTGGCCACCGGGCCATGCCAAACAGGCATCAACAAGCAGGACAGTTGGAAAAGGAAATGGGGCTGGTCCCGGCCCAATTCCCAAAAGTGGCCTCAACCGGAAAAAATACCTCTTCCCAACCCAGCAACTTGGAGTTCAAGACAAGGAGGCTTCCCAGCCACAGGCTGGCTCCAGCAGGGCCCACCCTTCCCGCCCCCAAGCACCAAGGTCAGGGATATAACCACAGGGTAGGAGCCTCCAGTAATTACAGCCAACTGCCCTGCCCAGGCCCAGTAGGGCAATTGGGCAGGAGAGGGCGGTGGTCACAAGGTCATGTCAGCCAGCTACCTGCTAGCTGCTCTGTGCCCCTGCCAAGGAAATTCCAGAATGCCCAAATGTAAACATCAGCTTCTCTACCTCTGTATTCCCATTTCATAGATGGGGACACTGGCCCAGGGAGGAGGTGACTGGCTCAGGACTTACTGAGAGTTGGGGCTGGGACTGGAACCCAGGTTTCTTGCCTTACAATCCAGATTCAGATTGCCTCACCTATCAGAACATCTCTCTTTTTTCTTTGCTTTTATTCCCACTGCTATAAAACCAAGCAATTTCTGGGAGAGATGAATCCCCTTGCCTCACTAAACATTTTCCTTCCACTAATTCTTCCCCAAACCTACACTTCCAGAAATCTGCCCTCAGGGTCCCTGCCCTCTTCTTATCCTGAGACCCCATGACCCTTCTTCACCTCCCTTCTGCAGGGGAAAGGGGCCAGGAGGGGTTGTAAATCAAAAGCTGACAGTTCCCTTAGCGGTAACAGAATGGGGCCACCCACATGGCTCAACACACTCCACCCCAACCCCTGTCCCCTTTTCTCCCCCATCCTCCATTCAGCTGAGAGGAACATGTCAGTTCTGGGAGCTGAGGGGACCTCAGGTCTTCAGGTAACAAAAGAACAGAACTTATCAGGGATAGGGGAGGGGAACCCCACGAGGGCCCATGGGGCAGAGACCCTGCCAACCCCGCTCACCCCAGCACAACCTGTTCAAGTTTATGTGCGTGCATTCTCTCTCTCTCTCTCTCTCTCTCTCTCCTCTCTCTCTCTCTCTCTCTCACTCTCTCTCTCTCTCTCTCTCTCATTCACAGACAGCCATCTAGTAAGTCAGCCCATAGGTAAGTGGTGACTGGAAACCCGGCAGCAAGAAAAGCCTGACAGTGCCCTCCTTCCGGAATCCCAAGGACTATACCAGGCAATGGGTCATATTCCAAGGTCCCAGAAAGGCACTGTATTTGTCTGACCTCATGGGCACCTTCATGTCCCTTCCTCCCCTCCTCCTCTTCCCAACCCCAAGCGACAGGCTATAAAAAGTCCCTAAACATAGGGACCAAAATAGTCTGTCTTCTGGGCTGGCTTTGATGCCAAACCATAGATGTCCCACCCTAGATGCCTGGCAGACATCCTTGTGCCCTCTATCCCAATGCCCACCTTCTCCCAGTCCTGGGTTAGTGGTCTAAACTCCCCAAGGCTTTGCTCTGGACACAGGTGGAGGGACTGTGCTCACTGGCTTGGTACCGGCTTCCCTGCCTTTGGGTCTCTGGGTGCCCTCCCACCCCAGCCCTGGGTTCCGGATACACTCACCTCTGTATGGGAAGGCTGAATGCAGGGGTCCCTGGGCAGAGCCAGACTAAGAACAGGAGGGACAGCAGGGACTAGAAGTAACTTTGGTGGCAGCCAAACCTCACTCTCCACAGGAAAAGCTGAAAGAGCCTCCACCCCCCCAGATTAACCCCTGCCTTCCTGACCTGGAGCCTGGCCTCCGTTAACTCCTTCCTGCTCACAGTCTCAGTGTTGAAGAGGACCAATGGACCAGGTCCAGCTCTTTTATTTTACAGATGATCATACAGGCCCTGACAGGTTAAGTGATTTGTATAAAGGCACAGTGAGCTTAGGGCACAGCCAGGACCCCAAACAAGGTCTCCTGATTCCCAGGCTTCTTCTAGAGGTTTGGGGTGGGGAGATGCTATTCATGTAGGGTCAGCCCCCTCTCTTGGGCCTTGGGAAATCTTCTTGGTCAGAATGGGAAGACAGAGCAGGGTTCTAGTTGACTGTGCCTTTTTCTCTCTGCAGCAGGCTTAGACCTGTTCTGGTTCCGGTGTGTGGATGATGTCAAGCCCGCTCTCCCTTGGGGTGAGGCTAGGAATCTGCGGCCTAAGGGTGGGGACAATGGTACTGCATGTTCAGGGTGAGCTTGTCCCAGCAAGTCTTGGCGTGAAGGTCACCTGGAAGCCCATTGGAGATGCCTCTGCCCCAAGTCCTCTGATGGTAAAAGGGATTGGCTGGGGACAGGATGATATAGGGATGATTCTGGGGCCAACCTGGGTCCTTTGGCCTCCTTCCTCCTTTGCTCCAACTTGGGAACTTCTAGAGCTGGCACAATTTCTTATCTGGCACCTCATGTCTCAAGGGGCGGGGCCTGTCCTCACTATGCTGGTACCAGGAGAGCTCCTCCCCTCTCCCCAGCAAGTAAACTCTGAAGCACCCAGAGCCCAAAGACCAATTTCTCTGCCAACGTGCCCTGCTCCCTCTACCTGGCCACTTTCCACAAATCCCTTGCCCTTCCTTCTAGCACTTTTTAACATTTGCAAGGCGCATTCACACTTGTGCTCTCTGATCTCCTTTGTCTCTCCCAGGGACCCTAGATAGGGGGCGAGGTAGGAGCGACCACCCTACCTTAATGGGTAGTAAACAGGATCAGGTCGGGGAGAGACTTGCCTAAGCCCAATCTCAAGTCTACTCTTTCCACTGCACCCTCTGCTTGTCAAGTAAGGTAATGAGCCTGAAAACCAGAAGGCCCATCTCCTGGTAAAGGAATTTTACTACCTAGTTAAAGTGATTATTATTTTGTCCACGATAGTTCTATATTGCATTGTTACAGCATGTCGCAAGCTACTTTCATGTACATGATCACAATTCATCCCCAGGACAATCTTTGGGTAGGTTTTATTTTCCCCATTTGACAGTGGAAGAGACTGAGGCTCAGAGAGATGAACTAGCTGATCCAAGCTCGCACCATTGGGAAAAATGGCTAACTTTTACTGAGAGATTAATATATGCTAAGCACTGTTCTGAGTACCTCACACGGTGATTAATATATTTAATCCTTACAACATCCCAATGAAATGGGTACTTTCATTCTTCTAATTTTATAGTTGAAAGTTGGGGGTACAGGTCAGTAGCCCTGAGATCTGGTCATGAAGGGGTTAAGCATGGAGGCTGGGCAGGGCCCAGCTGGGATGCTGTCAATGGCAGGAAACCTGGCCTGTGAAGGAGGGGGAGGATGGGGCTGTTGTGTCTGACTCCTGATACAACCCCCATCCCTTTGGTCTTAAAGGAGCATCTGGGTTGGGTGGAAGAGCAGGGGGCCCCCTTCTCAGCTTTTTTCTAGGGACCTAAGACAGATGCTGGGCTACAGAAAGAGGTTATTCAGAAGGGAACACAGGTGCTGCCCTGGGGCAGTCTTGGTCTGATGAGGGTGACTGGAAGGGACCCCACCTCTCTGCAGGAGTGCTCAGGGTGGGGAGACACAGTTCTGCCCTCAGGAATCTGAGCTGAGGGTTGGTCAAGGAGCCTTGCTCTTAGGAGTTCCCAGTTTGAGAGGTGACAGTACTCTGTCCCAGGATGCCAGTGGACACAGACCCTCTACCATACTGGCAGAGCAGAGTCATGGAGGAGAGGTCAAACTGGATTGATTTTTTGGGTGAGAGGGCCCTGAAAGGATCTGTGGGAGATGGAGGGATAATGGGGTGGAGCTATAGCTGCCTGCTCTGCCTTTCTCTTGGCCATACTTGCTGTGAACCAGATCATCTGTCTTTCTGGTCATGGGCCCCCAGGGAGATCCTTAAAGTGGCCCTTTCCAGGCATTAGAGCCAGGACCTCGGGCAAGGTGGGGGAGGCTGAATCTGAGAGATGCTTCCTTCCTATTTCCGAGCTCATTCCAGAATTACCTTGAAGATCGATGGGAATGGGCCTGAGTCAGAACTGGCTCCTTCCAGGAGACGGGGTTGGGAGGATGGGGGAGCAGCCCTGGTCAGTGTTGGGAATGATGAGGCAGATCAGGGAGGCCCTCCAGATCCAGCCTCGGTCCCCAGACCCCAGACCCACATTGTTACAGAGGAGAAACATGTCACCTCCCTCACCAGCCAGCTACAATCCCCTTGCCATAGCCATCCACATCTCTAGACGCCTTGGATTCTAATTCTGGTTTACCACTCACTGGTTGTGTGTCCTTGAGCAAGAACTTAACTTCTCTGAGTTACCTAAAATGGAAACGGCAAGATTCAGCTCTTGTGTGGCACAAAAAAGTGATGGCCAAGAAAGCACCTGGCACCTCAAGGTGCTCTTAAATGTCAGATGAATCTGACTCTTAGCTCTTGCCCTCCACCAACACCTTCCTGACACCTCTGGCCTAATTTTTTTTTTTCTATACCCATAGTTTCACTCTCAGCTGCTGCCAACAAATCATTTTGAACACTGCTATGTGCCGTGGGGCAGCAGGCATGGTTTTTGCTCCTGGGAGCTCAGCCCGGGGGTGGGGTGTGGGGCAGAGGCGTGAAGGACTGATCACAAGTCAAGTGAGAGCAGTGCTGCTGTTACAGAGATGAACAAAGCCAGGGACATGGTGGGGGCCGGTGTATTTATTCTGCCTGGAGTGAGGTGGGAAGAATTCAAAGAGGAGGGAGTATCTGGGCCAAGAAGGGATTTCTGATGGGGGTGGGATGGGAGGTGGAGGTTTGGGTGGTTGAGGTAGG